CCTGAAGCAACACATCTCACTGCAGTGCCATTTGCCTGTGACCTATTATGATTTATTTCTATGGAAAGATTGGTAGCGGTCTCCATGTACTCCAGTCCAGCACCAACTGTGAATGTTTTGTTAGTCACATCATTGCAATCACAGCTATGAAGAAAAGCATCTGTGAACTTGGGGGATGTTTCGTTGGGGAGGAAGTGTTGCATGATCTATCCTAGCCTTGATTTAAAACATATCTATTAGGGTTTAAATCCCTGATGGGAGGAAAACACTTGGCTGTTCATGCTGCAGCCTGTTTTCTCAGTTCACATCTGCAGCAGTTAAAAGTAGATCCGGGGATAATGAGAATAGGTATAGTTTATCCTCGGTTTTGGCTCTTCTACACAGAGCAAGCATTATATAAAATCTGCATTCTGTACACTCTCTGTGCACCTGTATCTAGCTAGAACCCATCTGTTAAATATTTCACATTTTCAGGTTCAGTCATAATTTAGGCATTTAAAAGAGAAATCATCCAAACTGTTAGCAGACAAGCTTCCTTGTTGCCATTATTATGCACACGGCTCAATAAGCTTACTTATTAATCATATTTTAAGTAATCACAATATTAAAGTATAGCAAACATGAATTATTAAACACACAGTACTGTGTTATGACACTTTAATGATAGCTCTCTTTTGCAAATGCTCTTTTGACACACATGACTCCAGTATGTACGCTAAACAGGTAGAAAATGAAAGATCTTTATTGGAAAGCATATATATCATGTCAGGGGAAGGCTACAAACACATGAACATGAGTCGGAGTTGAAAAGTTACTAGTGATTGGTGACAGGGTGATCACAAAAAGCTGCATGAGTATGTGCCCAGTGGGGCTAAAATACAGAGAGACACCCAAACTGTTTTATTAAGAGTGAGTGGGTAAAACAATTTAAAGTTTTTTTTCACTGTAACATAATCTGTAAATGGTTTTAGTTCTTTATATGTAGTTTGTCTTTTTAAACTATTGTCATATCTGTATTCCTTGTCACCATAATTATACAAGTGCCTTTTTCTCCTATTGCTCTGATGCTTAATATTAATGTTTTGGTTAGTTTAATTAAATGGCCAGTTTTGAAGTATATATATTATTTTGTTAAAAAACACTTTCATGGGCTGTTATTCTAAAATTCCTTTATGTCACTAATGTGATCCAGCAAACTCTGGAAAATATCCACATTGAAATCCTTATTATTCTTCATAAATTATCATCTCTACCATTTTAATAAAAGGCTAAATGGCCACATGCCCTGGACCTAACAAAACAAAAGGTCTTCAATCAGATCGTAGTAATGAACCTTGAAGAGCAAACTTACTACAGACCAAGCTACATGAGTGATTTCTTAACCTGACTATAGTTTAAACATTAATCTCCTGTGAACAGACTTGAAATTGGCAATGATTCATTACATAGTACACACCAGATGAGGTCAGTGTGCTGAATTAAATGAAACTTGTTTAACTGCTTACAAAGCCAAAACAATATGTGATGATCTATTTGGCTACTATTGATCATCTTGCTTGGCTTTGCCAAAAGCTACACTTGAAGGTGTCTTGTGTATTATGGTCCAAAAATTGGTTCACCAAGGCAAATCAGCCATAAAATGATAAAAAAATATAAAAATGCTCCTAATGCTAGTGGCAATGCATCAAAAGAAATATCTAAATGCTTAGTTTAAAAGCTTACTAAAGAAAGTGAAGCTTACTAACAAGCTATAATGATATTCAGTCAGTTTTAAGTTACATTCTGTTTTTAAAGTTTGCACATTAAAAAAGAAAATGGATGTTTTGGGCACACCAATCTTGCTGAATCCAGCGCTCGCCTTGTTGCACCTTGGTATGGAGCAATATCCACTATGGGTCAGAACTGTCTTCACCCACTTGCTCCTCACTCTGTTAGACTATGAAATTCTCCAACTCCCCCAACTTAGTTGATACGTCTCCTATGTGATATGGAAAGACTGCTGGCATCTATAATCCTATCCAACACCAAATTTCTTAAGGTATGGTCTTTATGGTTCAATAATCCCAATTATACAATTAAAGACAGTAAGTGTAATAACCCCTCCACACACTGACTGGCTCTGCAGGAAACTTGGTTTACACATATGTTGATTGGTTGTTTCCCCTTTTACCCCCAGGTTCCCCGCCATTCCCTCTTCCCCCAATAATGGACACCCCCCATTTTCTTCTTTCATTTAGGATGTGTCTCTTTATTACCACTGATGACATTGTTACTTTTATTATGTACCTGGTTGATTGATCATTTGTGATTACTGAAAATACACTAACGCATACTGTGTAATATTCGTACTCTCCCTTTTTGTATAACCTCTGTATACATTTATACAAACTTTTTATATTTTTACAATACCTTTATTTTGCAAAGAGCTATTTAACCATTAAAGGACATATGATAGATGCCCACACATGTTATTTTGACAGCAGAGATTGATAGTCTAGCAAAAAAGCAGGACATTGGTAACAATATGAGTTTCCACTCAATGCTTCACTCAATGCTTGTAAATAAGATTGATACACTGTGGTTAGCTCTGGCTTTCAGCTAATTTCACAGTTTCAAATTCTACAGTAGGTTCTTTAGCATAGGGGCTGTTGCTTTAAACCTTACAGTAAATATATATATATTTCCAATAATTAATGCTGGATTAACCCCTTCTAACTAGTTCAATTTAGCTTGAATTTTTTTTGCCCTCTTTTTGGTAGTTTTTTTCACATTTCAAAAACTTTTAGTCCTGGTTCACACTGATGTGGATTGTCATGCGATTTGACCATTCAAATTGTATGATAAATCACATCCAATGAACTGCAATGGAATCGTTCTAATCCATGTGACTCTGACGTAGTCCGAGTCTCACCAATTAGAAAAGTAGTTCCTGCATTACTTTTGATGATTTAGGGTGGGACTTGCCTTGACATTTCTGCATAAAGTTGCACAGATGTCTATGAATTTTTTGTTGTTGTGTTTATTTAGACAGTTTGTACCAGAATTTAATTTTGGTGTTATATTAAATTGGGAATATCACAAAATAAATGATCAGTGACTATAGAGGATGTACAGCCCTCTGTTATCACTGTATTTCAAAAGTTAGCCCCTAAATACCTGATTAGAGCTAAGAGCTTAATTATATACATCAAACCGTGACTATCCATAAACCTGGGGGTTCTCCAAAGGACATTACTACAGAATGAAAGAAAGGATAATTCAGGCAGTGCGGAATGCGGAAATCTGTTCATTCCAACTTGTGCCAATGGTATTCTCATTTTTCATTGGTGACAATCATCCCGAAACCATTTCCAACAATCCTGCAAGTGAAGAAAGTTGGCTACCACTAGGAGGGCTTTAAACTAACCTTTGTGTACTGTTGCAAAACCCATGTAATGATGTCACCTGCTAAAGCCTGCACATGCTCTGAGCCTTTAGGGTTGATTTACTAAAGGCAAATAGACTGTTCACTTTGCAAGGGAAGTTGCACCTTGCAAGAGAACTTGCCGCAGAGCTTCGTGGTAAACCTCTGCTGACTACCATCATCCAAACTTGCGCAAGCAAATACTGTGTTTTTTTTTTTCTTCCATGTGATTGGGTATTCTTTACAAAGTGAAACTTTACGACATTCCTTTTTGCAACTTCCTTAGTAAATCAATCCCTTTCCATCTTTCTACCTGGACAAGAACAATCCATCACTAAGGATTGCCTCAACCAAGCAGATCTCTGCCATGCACCCACTGTGATTAAGATGCCCATTGTCAGAGCATGGGTCTGAACCTGGGCCTTCTGCGGTGAGTGGCAATGTTTCTTCTTGCTGGGCTACCTGGAATGCTGGACAGCTCCCTTGACAATTATTTGGATGATCCTACCTTGACCTTGTTTATCATGAACCTTGAACCCCTTGCTCCTCCCATTAACTTCCTGATATAAGCCATGTCTCTGCACTTCCTGTTTGCCAGATTATTGTGCTTTCCAGCCAGTATCGTGCTCCTTATCATCTCTGTTCTTATCCATATTTTGCTACCACTTGTTATTGACCCTTTGCTTGTTCTCGACTACGCTTCTGCCTGATCCCAACCTGTGACTGCTCCTTACCGACCTTGGCTTGTTTACTGACCACACTTCCGTTTGAACCTTACCTGCTTATACAGTAATGGACCTCCTGGTGGGGTGATCCTGAGGACTGAGACCTGGTGCTAACACGCAGCAAAATCCATCTCCACCATCAGGAGCTCTGGTGAACACCGGTTGGTACTTAGACTCTCACTTAGACTTAGTTGGTACTGATCCCACTCCTCTGCCACGGTGACCTACCTGTGTACCTATCCTGCTGGTTTCAGGTGAGCCTTTCCACTGCTATAGCAACTGGTTTTTGAGCCAGGCCCCTGATCGTGACACCTATGGAACTGAATCCTCTAACGTGATGGTCCACTAAACGTCTGATAAAGGCTAAGAGTTTCTGTTATACTTGGTTCCACTCTGTTCAAACTGACTGGGCGTGAACCAAATCCTAACATCATATTGTAGCTGCCAAGAGAATTGTTTCACTTTTTCCAACATTAAGGAACTGAAACTGGCCCGGGCTACTAAGAATTGCATTCCCAGGAAAAACTGTCATCCTATCTGCTATGTACTTGTTTTCATACAAATCTGACTTGCCTGGTCTGAGATGATCCTGCTCAAGAACTGTTTTGGAGTATTTATGTTGCCTCTACTATTATTAGCAAACATGTTTTGGTTTAATCCCATTGTTTGTCTATTGTTTAGCATCTGATTTTTGATAATTCTACTATTATCCACCTTCCGCTCACCATATAGTAAAATGATGGACACAAGGCGGTTCTCTCGTTCTGGGAGGACGTCATATGACATCCTCCCATTCTAACCACGCATGCGAGGCTCTGGGAGCGCGCAGCGCGGCGATCGGCGGTGCGCTGTGTCCCTCGGACACAGCGGATCACCGATCAACAGAAAGAGCCGAAGATGTTGGCTCAGTCATGTGATCAGCTGTGTCCAATCACAGCTGCTCACATGTAAATAGGGAAATGCCGGTTATCAGCATTTCTCTCCTCCTCAAGAGCTGTCATGCTGACAGCTCCAGAGGAGAGGAGAACCAGTAATCGGCATCCCTCAGAGGGGACATGTACACTGATCATCAGGGCACTGATGATCAGTGTGCCCTGATGATTTGTGTAGCCACAGCAGTGCCACCTGTCAGTGTCCATCGGTGCCAGCTGTCAGTGCTCATCCATGCCACCTGCCAGTGCCCATCAGTGCCACATCAATGCTACATTTCAGTGCCTACCAGTGCACATCAATGCCACATATCAGTGCCCATCTGAGCTGCCTTTCAGTGTCACCCATCAGTGCGAGTCAGTGCCACCTATCAGTGCTGCCAATCAGTGCCACCTATAAGTGCCAGTCAGTGCCGCCTATCAGTGTCAGTCAGTGCCGCCTATCAGTGTGCATCAGTGCCGCCTATCAGTGTCCGTCAGTGCTGCGTATCAGTGCCACCTATCAGTGCCAGCCATTGCCACCTATCAGTGCCAGTCAGTGCCGCCTATCAGTGCCAGTCAGTGCCGTCTATCAGTGCCACCTATCAGTGCCGCCTATCAGTGCCATATAGGAGTGCTGCCTTGCAGTGCCCATCAGTGATGCCTGTCAATGCCCATCAGTGCCATCTACCATTGTCTCCTCATCAGTGCCCATCAGTGCAGCCTCATTAGCGCACATCAGTGAAGGAGAAAAAACACTCATTTACCAAATTTTAGAACAAAAACTAAGAAAAAAAACGTTTTGTTTTTCAAAATTTTCTGTGGTTTTTGGTTTGTTTAAGAAAAAATAAAAAACCTAGAGGTTATTAAATACTACCAAAATAAAGCTCTATCTGTCACAAAAAAAATGATAAAAATGTCATATGGGTACAGTGTTGCATGACTGTGCAATTGTCATTCAAAGTGCAACAGCGCTGAAAGCTGGAAATTGGCCTGGGCACGGGTATAAGTGCCCTGTAGGCTAGTGGTTAATTCTCCTCATGCCTTATTAATATTTCTTAAACTATAAGATTGTTGGCACAATGGAACCATTCCCTTAGCAACATTTTAAATCACTCATGATTGATGTTTGGTTCTAGTACTATTTCTGTATGTTTTGTATTGTTGTGTTTTTGGTACTTGATCTAACTTCAATACACTAACATACTCAATCATGGTGATATCTTTGTTTCTTATTAGGTCATCCCTGACAAATCATGACCGGAGCTTGGGCTTTACTTGTAAGTTTTAATCCTGCCACTATCACTTGTCATGAGAGGATAGGTTATCACCTCTGTACATGGCCACCCTTGGCTCTAACATGATATATAATGCCTGTCTGGGGTTGCTAACAAGATACATTCTTAGGGACTGCTTACTGTGCATTCCCTTAAAATTAACTGAATAATAACAATCACATATTTTCTTTACTTACTACATGGTTAACACACAGTTACCAATTGAAATCTATGCTCTAAAAATATACATCATAAAAAAGGAATGTAGTTCAAAGAATCACTTAGCAGTTAACTTTCTTCACGCAGTGAGACCCCTCCAAGTCAAGGGAGGATGTGATTTTGTTGTCCTATGTACTATACTGCCTTATTATTATTATTATTATTATTATACAGTATTTATAAAGCGCCAATAGTTCACTCAGCGCTGTACATTACAAAGGGGGACAGAACATGTGACAGAACAATACCAATTATTTGGACCCTACTCTTGTTATCTGTATAGCATTGCACCAGTTATGTCACACGGGGTGCCTCACAACCCCCCCCCCACCCGTGGATCCTGCTAGATGACCATTGATCTTGATTGGCCCTTGTTAGATGTCACCCATGGTGCAGGGAATCTTATTACCTGGGAAGTTTCACATTTACTCCCAGCTAGTAGCAAGTTATGCTTTTGTTTTCCCTTCTGACCCTGTTCCTGCTTTCTGTGTCTGCATTACGTTTAGATTTCTGTTCCTGTTCTGCCCCGGATTTCCACTATGTACCTAACCATCAAGTTTCTTTGCTTCAGGAGGCCCAACAATTCCTAAATATGGGCAGCAGTCCCTGGTCACTTGTGACAGACTAACCCAAATTGATTTAGTCATCCCTATGAATCTCAAACAGTTTCAAATCTTGGACTGCTTTGCAACCTTCCTCCTCAAACTGAAAGGACTTTCATAAAGATTTTCTCATTTTCATATATATATATATATATATATATATATATACCGAATTGAAAACTGTTACATTCATTTAACAATAAATATAATTTTCTAAGGGCTCCTTAACACTAACCTGCATGCTAAAACGTATGTGCACTGGTGTACATTGTGTAAAAACAGTGAGAGGCTGTGTGGTACATTGCATCAATGTACTGCCCCAGTTACTTTTTTTTTACTTTTTTGTGTCCCAAAATGAATCTTCATTCAAGTTAATGCATTTCATCACGTTACAACACGCTGCGGTGTGGTGAGATACATTGCACAGTTTAAAAAATGCGTTTTTATGCAGTGCATTGCACCTCAACACAGTGTTATGGTGTGAACAGGGCACATAAACAATCATTATTTACTATGTGCCATTGTGTTGAGCCTGCATTGATCTATGTAGATTGATGCATATTAACCAATACGGTGTGTTAGAGCCCTAAGGGTTTGTAAGTTACATTTATAAATCATATTGAGCTGTACTATATAATCATAGAATGGCACCAGTTAGTTTCTAAATAGGATTGTGGATCAGATGCTGATGGAGGACCAACACTGATGTATAGAAGGAATGTGCTGAGCACTTACCAAGGACGTTCACTTGGAAGCTGAAGCTGTCATTCAGATTATGTTGTTTATTAAATACTTGTATAGTGTAAATCCCAGAGTTATTTTCTCCTAAATCCTTTATAAACAAGCTGTGTTTTTCTGCATTTGTCTTATAGCAGGGTACTGTTCTTTTCTATTAATTTGCCATCTTTCAACCTGTAAAAAGAAAAAAGTTGCTTTAAAAAGTTAGCAAAGCTGATTGTTGGAGGCCATTCTTATTTCACAAGCTATTTACGTTAGCTGATGGAAAGAAAAATAATAATAATAAAGAAAAAATAAAAACAAAACAAACAGCTCTGACCAGCTGTCACTAATTCCCGGAGCACGCTGTTTCATCTCTCAGATGCCTTTTTCTTTGTTTGCTTTTTAGAACCACAGTTTACAATATTAAATCCTTTCTACTTAACATAATTTGGTGCTGAGTGCATGTCTTTTCTAACCTTCTTCTCTTTATACTCTAGTCTGGCCAGCTCCCAAGGCAGCATTTATACAAAGAGTCTAAAAATAATTCCCTTCACCCTATGCTGGTTGTCCTAATAATACTGGCCTTAACCCAAGAAAACTCAAAGATCAAGCCACAAGCCAAATCTGAATACACAGGTGGCTTCCAGTACTTTCCCAGGTGCAGACAGTTCGAGTAGCACTGTCACCATTCCAATTACAAATTACATATGGCATGGAATCCCTTTTAGACTTTTGCTACTTTTCCTTATTTCCTTATTACGAGTTTCCAATTACACAAGTATAATTTTCATAAACATTTTTCATTAAGACACAGCTATCATTTCAGATACGTATTCACGTTATTTTGTCTATGAGCATCCTGGTGTTTGCTTATAAAGATATATGTTCTATTTAAGTTTTGTTACTTAAAGCGTAATTGAATGCAAGAACTAAAATGTAATATATTGAAGTATACCGATGCCTAAATGTGTGTGTGTGTCTGGGTTACGTTAACTTTTGTCCTAGGGCAACAACACATTCACCAAAATGTATCTCTGCAGAAGCAGCATTTTCACCTTAGAACAGGGCTACAGAGTATCTTCACCTCTGTTATTCTACCTATTATACAGGGGAGGTGTTCTGTAGTTTACAGAAAAAAACTTAAAGTGCAGCACAGACAGAAAGCACAGGGAGTTACCATCTCACAAACTATTTGGCAGCATCAACAGTTATGTTTTTTTTCTTTGCATTTACTAAACAGATATAACCCATTTTTTTTAATGGTATATATAACAGGACTAAAGGGAGCAAATGAGAGAAGTTCAATGTTAAGGTTTACATACACTTTAATAAATGCAGAGATTCGTAAATTAGTTACTAAAAAATGACTCTGTATAACATACTAAACAACTTTTACAATATAAGACACACAGGTAGTGTCAATGAGATGGCCAACTCATAAGGTAAAGCCAGCCATACATGCATCGAAATTTGTCCGGTTCAGTAGGGATCAGCTGAATGTTGATCCATGTATGGGCAGGTTGGTTGTACAGAAGTCGATCTACCAATCCACTTCTGTACAACCAGCCAGCTGTTGGGCTTTTCCTGATCAATCAGTGCTGCAGCCTATAGCTGGCAGCACTGATCAGTGTATTCCGACGGTGGGATTGCCCTTGAATTTGTATTAAAATGGCAACTTTTCCTGCTATACAGTTTTTGTTAGATTTTTTTATATGCATTGATACATTTCCCCCATGGCAGTCCCCGGCTCCCCATGCTCTTTGTTTAACAATTCCTTGCCTATTAGCCTTGATAATAGCCAGAACTGATATTCAAAATTCCTCCCTCATAGACTTCAGTGGGGTTTGGATTTAAGCTCTCAATTTTCGCACTTCACAGTGGGCTTGGCAAAATGCCCCGCAAATCAAACCCAGACACATTTGCTCATCCCTACTCAACAGTAGGTAATTCTTCAATTTGCTCACCATGAAATTTGTGAATGCCTCATTGAATCCACTTTTTCCAACATCTGAAGTTCATTTTACTATTCATGTATTTTTGCTTTAACAGAAAACTATACCATCCAAAGTGACCGCCTTGTATTTAGCAAGGCCACATGAGAGCTTTGCCTCATAAAAACAAACTACAGAAATGATGATCATTGTACCATGTCAGTTTGAAATTCAGCAAAAAACATCCCAAATCTGTCACAAATTAACCATTGTTTGGATGGGTTTCTATATATTTGACATGACCACAGATAAAACCCTTGTGACATTATGCCCTGTCCCTCACACATCAGCAAAAAAAATGATTCCTCACAATGTGACCATCTTCAGATTTAAAGGTTGTTTTAGAAATGAAGAAATAATACAAATGGATATATGCTAAATCTTCTTTTAACCCAGCTTGATGACTCACCAGTTGCTTTGCGGAAGTGGAAAAGCTTTGACTTTAACCAATAATTTCAATTCATCGCCTTCTTTTTCTTCATACACATGTTTCTTTGGAGGACGAATAAACAAGAAAGGCTTTTCTAGAGAATAGACATAAGTTTTTAAAAAATTATTTGCGATACAAAAAAAAA